GCTTGAGGCTTTTACACCAATGCTGATATCACTGGTTCTGTGCTTCCTTATATCAAGTTATTATTTTTTTCTTTGATACCTTTGTGCAATTATCATGGAGAGGCTCGTTCGTATGATTTTAATGAATGTAAGAGCAACAGAGAGGGAAATATGTCTTCACCATTAACCCTACTTCTTGTTCTGTCAAAGTATTTTTATTGATTTTGTTTCACACTGTTGCATAGATTTACTTAATTCTTTAGATTTATAGAGCCTTTTATTTGACTATTTCGACTGTGAATTCATAAGATGAATTATTTTTCAGTTTTTCTAGTCTGAAATTTTTCCACAATTTAAATAAATGTTGCAAACCAGCTGAGAGTGCATCTACAGAGCTGTTGTTTGACTTGTTTCAGACTGCATCTGAAAATTGTTAATGTGCCGAGATTAAAGCAAACAGTGAAGAACAGATGCCTTCGCAATAACTTAAAAGAGATGTGATGTCAGGAGCATAATTGCATTTATAAAAAAAATAACTATCAGGTCTGTGAAACATGTGTCTCTCAGGGGGGGATAGTAACTACTTATATTTACTCAGTTAAATTTACTTGAGATAAAATTATAAAAAGTCATCTCAAGGTAATTTGCAGAGACAAATCAGTCAGATTGATTCAAAATGTTCTATTTAGGGTAAAACAGCTGATTGCATTGACTCATTACAGCAATCCCTCATGCCAAGCATGCATGCAGCGACACTAAAGGGGAAAAAAAAACTTTCAGGGAAAAAAAAAAAAAGCTCCAACAGAACCAGGCACAGTGTGAGCAGCCATCTGTTGAGACAGACTGATGTTAAAGGAGACAGAAGTACTGATCTATAAATGGTTTCTCTTAGAAAAAGTAATGGTAAACTATCTCCATAGGTGGCTCTATCTAGGAGAGAAACAGTTAAGCAGATGAAATATGACCCATTATTTATGTTAAGGGGATGAAGCAGAGAAGATTCTATTAGCCAGAGTAAAAGCTAAGCCCGTAACTGTGTGTAGGAGAGAAGCAGAACTAAGCAATAAAAAACAGACCCAATCAAAGGTGATTGATGGTTGAGGCCATATTTCTTTTGCAGGATGGTGTCACAGCCAAACAGGAATTGACCAGATCAATATACTATGATGAGAAAAGTGGAAAGAGCATAAAGTTAAGGACTGAACTGAGAAAAATACTCCAGAATGGGAGAATAGAGAATGAAGCAGAATGATGAAACGGAGTCCCTATGTCCTCCAGCAATCTAAGCCTATAGCAGCATAACTATAGAGATAGCTCACAGTAACCTGAGCTACTCTAAGCTTTTTCAGTTTTTAGCATAACCTTAAAAGTAGACAGGGTGTCTGCCTCACATCTTTAGTGTACAGGTGTAGTATACAGATTAGAGTAGTTTTCAGAAATTGTACATAATTAAGTAAAAAAAAATTATGAGTAGAATGGGCTAATGATGTCATCAGGTAAGCTAAAAACTGAGATTTTCAGTAACTTATTTCTCAGGCCTGAATTAATTTGCAAGAACAAAAAAAAACAACATTTATTGCAGTTTTACGGTAATGAATTGTTAATTAAAATAATCTAAAACAAAACTCATGTCAAAGCTCACAACTAATTACTAAAGTCTATAGACCCCGCCCCAGACACACACACATATATGTAAGTATATATAGGTAAGGCAGGTTTATTTAAATAGCACAGTTCAGTACAAAGACAACCCAAAGTGCTTTACATGCATTAAACAATAGAAGAAAATTAAAAGCCGATAAAAATGCCAGATAAAGACATGAGAAACGCAGGTTAGTAAAACAAAAAGTTGGACCACAAGCTTAAACCAATTATACTTAAAAGGCAGTTCTAAACAAATGAATTTGAACTCTAAAGGCTTCTACAGTCTTCTGGAAGATTGGTCCAGATAATTGGAGCATAGGAAATAAATGCAGCTTCTCATATAATAAACACACAAAACAAAGACTATGAGTATTTTTTTAAATAAGTGATTAAGAAGTTAGGTAGCATAAAGTGCTTAACATTATTAATAAATATATATATACGGTATATATATTCTGGATGGAGTGTATTTACAGAGAGATTTTTCATCTTGATTGAACACGTGTAACATATTCTGTTTTGCTTAATATCTGATCCAAGTTTCTATTCATCAGGAAAACAGAATGTTTTAGTCTGTATACTCCAGTTAACAATTTGAGCTGAATATGAATTTAGTTTTCATTTATACCAATAATCATTAAATTCCAATTACCTCTTTCAGCCTGAATACGTATATATGAATATAATTTTCTTATAATCATAAGTTCATAAGCATCCAAACATAAAGAACACAACCACAGATGTGAAATACTTTCAGTATACAAGTATAAAAAGTCTTTAGGTGCAAAATCAGTTTATTCATAATAGTACAGTAAGAAGGCGGTAATGTCATTACACATCATCAGAGGTTCTCCAGCTAAAAAAGAAGCACTTTAGTCAGTTAAATTACTCTTAATGCTACAACTTGAAGGTGGAAACACCACGTAATACAGCAGGATACCAGATCAGTCTGTACTCACATCCAAAACTCATCTTATTTTCAGAAATAACTCATTCAGTGTCCAAAATGTGCAGAGAGTCATGTGCAAACTGAAGAAGACTTTACAAGATTAAATAAAAAAATATATATAATACAGGTTACTAATGTACGGTAAGAGAAGGTTGTCATGCAGTCAGAAAAAAGCTCGTAGTGATTCAATTCAAAACTTGCTTAAATAAAATAACGTCAAAGATTCATATCAATAAAGAATCCAATAAAACTTTGATGAAACAAAAACACACATCACTAAACATGTTTACCTTCCAATATAGGGCTATTGTATATATTTACATATTGGACAATAGTTGAGCAAAGTGCTGGAAGATAAAGCTGTTTTAATAATTCACCAAGGAGAAACAAAAAAAGTCAACGATAAAGGTTTATCAGCATTATTCTCTGCTTGACGGAACTGTAAACAGAAATAAATTTTTTTTTGAACTTTTAAAAACTGTTGCATGAATATCCAGAAAGTAGCACACTTCTAAAAGGATGTCAACATTGAGGCTATAGCAATGTGTGAAAATTATACTTATTAGTCATTATTGCTTTATTTAACTTGTTAAGATCTGTTCTAGAACAAAGACAGAAACTGATCTGGGTAATTTTAGGCAAGAAAGTATCTTGATTACTTCCTCTTGGTCGATGCGGCCCAGCTCAAACTAAGGTTGGCTTTTCTCTATGTAAATCACAGCAACTCCTACAACAAAGCAGGACTTTCTGCCTCTGAAAGGAAACTTGTTAACTCGACATACAGGAGGAGGACAGAGAACAGCAGATTTTCTCCTGCAAACATATTCATACAATCATGAGCACTCCTTTATTTTCATACTGGTTTAGAATAATCTTTACCTTTCACACAGAAGTGAAGCAAAAAAAGAAAACATCTTAGCAAAAAAACTAAATTGTCATGTCCCAGTTGTCATGTGTGGAGCTGTGTGGGGTCCGAACATGTAGGGTTACCAAACAGCTTCACAGACAGGAAAAACAAAACATGATGGAACAACTTTTCCTCAGAGATCCATCAAAACAGGAAAGCATCTGATTTAGATTTGGGGCAACAACTTCTTTTCTTTTAAATGTTAACAAATTCATGACAGGTATGGAGTAAGTTTTGTTCCATTACTGTTGCAAGCAAAGAACCTGTGTTGTAAATTGACATAAAAAAAAAATACATTCAAGAAAGGAAACTTTAAGAAAAAAAAAAAAAAAAAAAAAAGATTTCAGAATAACCTTGCTGTGTTCTTAGTTTCTTTTCGTGTTTTTGTTGACTATTAAACATTGCATTCTTTGCAAATTTCATTTTACATATTACATGCAAATATGCATTTCTATTGCTCTGCTAGATTATAGAGTATTTTTATTGAGAAGGGGATCTGTAAAATACAATTTGAAAAAAATAAAATTTGTAAAAGTGAATCGAAAAAACTTAAATTTGAAAACAATTATGAAAAAATAAAATCTGTAAAGAAAACAATTTTTTAATAAAATGTAAAAAAAAAAACATAAAAAAATGTCATTACAACTTTTTAATAGTTTAATTTATGGATTATATATATATATATATATATATATATATATATGTGTGTGTATGTATATGTATGTATTTTTTTTTTTATCCCAATTTCCATTAGCAAAATGTGTTCTTTGCTTGGAACAAAATTCACACCATAGACAGAGAGGGTTTCTTTTCTCCTGTATCGAGCAATACCAGTGGAGTGGGCAAAGTTATATTTGCCAAGATGTTCAAGTTTTATAAAGGGATGTACAGAGATGGCAAAAGTACTCACTTTCCGTACTTGAGTAAAAAAACAGATACTTGTGTTAAAAAATACTCTGGTAAAAGTGGAAGTACTGATTAAACTTCTTTACTCAAGTAAAAGTAACAAAGTACAGGCTTGTAAATTTACTTAAAGTATAAAAGTAAAAGTAGAAACCACTTTTTTCATGCCGTTGCCTACATTTTAAATGGATGTCTGCCAATAGGACTAGATCTCCGTTGTGTTCATTTTCAATCATCTCGTCATCCATACTACTATGCTAACGCCACCGCCACCAAGCTGCAATGATTTGCCGTGAATGAATACCGCCGAATCTGTCGATTCATCTTGTAGTGGTGCGTCAAATGCAATGTAGATTCCCATCCAATTAGATTGAATTTGGTATTGATGACGTATAAAATAATAACGGTAACTCCATTGAAATGATTCAAAACTAAAGTAACGAGCCAATTTTTTAAAATGTAAGTAGTAGAAAGTACAGATATTTGTGTAAAAATTTAAGGAGTAGAAGTAAAAAGTCGCCATAAAAATAAGTAGTAAAGTAAAGTAAAAATATCAGAAAAATCTACTTGAGTACAGTAACAAAGTATTTGTACTTTGTTACTTCCCATCTCTGGGGATGTATATATATTCATTAATTTCCCACCTTTTTAGATTTTTACATAAGTTTTTTCAGCTGTCATAAAGAGCAGTGAAAGTTTATTTCATTGTTTTGTTTCATAATGTGCTGCAAAAACCCAACGTTCCTCCAAACTATTAAAGCTGTTTGCTCTACATTTCTGATTGAGCCAACATAACACAGTACTTGTTTGAAGTTTGCAGGAATGCCATTCTTTTTGGGTTAACGCGCAACAATTTCTCTGCTCTTAATATTACAAAAATAGATTTTAAAGTGTGTGATAACTTACTGGCTCTAATGAGCTAATAGATTATTCTAAGTGTCCATCTTCGCACTGTGAGATTAATAGCATAAATCTTGTCTAAGGAAATCATATTGCTGCATAGGCAGATCATTTTACTTCTTTTCAGTAGTTTTCCCTCAGATTTTGGAATTTTCATGCTGTTTTTAGACTCCCCAATTCTGAAGTGCATCAACTGCAGAGAACAGAAATACCTTTGTCTGACGTATCTCTAGAAATATGGAGGGATTTGTGTTCCATTATTGTTGCAACCAAAGAACATGTTCTGAAAATAAGAATTTTATTAAAAAAATAAACTTCAGAAATGAAACTTTGTTGGCTCAGAGCACAGTGTGTTACGGCCTGTGGGGGTGACCCGCCTCATCGGCCAGGTTCAGGATGTATCCAACTACTTCATCCTCAGAGGGGAAGTCGGACATCACCCAGGAGTCGTTGGCAGCCGTCACCTGCAGGCGGCATATCGGGCAGTTCCGGCTTTGCCCGCTCCTGTGGAAGCAGGGGAGGGGAAAAAAAGTTTGGTTATGTGAATCTGAAAGGGTTTGGATGGTCGAAATGCAGCTTGAAGTGGAGCTTCACCATTTATCGATGCATTTCTGACAGAAGCTGTGAGCACAGGGCAGGATGAGGTCGGCCTTTCCGTCCATACAGATGCAGCACTCCTCCTGATCGGTCAGCTGCTTCACCCTGCAAAGAACAACACACGGCATGGAAAGCCTGTAGGCATGGAGCGCCTCTGGGCGCAGCCTTACATGGAGAAAATAAAAATAACTGAAGCCTCTCCTATTTTTATTCCTGCTTCTTTTCCATAAAAGCAGATTATGGAAACGTTCTCAAACCTGAGCCTTCAATCTCTGACACTCCTAGAAACTATTTAAATCCAAAAATCTGATCTTTCCCGTTATGTAATAGAAGTGAATCACCTCCTCTTTATTTCACTATGAAATAGTGGAAGCAAGAGCCACTCCCCGTGTACTGACCTCCCCATCCACATGCTGGCCTGGCAGGAGTCGGTGGAGGGAAGCGGCTCAGACGGACCTTCGATGGCTCCTTCTGCAGACAGCACCTCGGCAGCCTGACTAGTGATGTCACGGTAAAGCTGGATGAACTGGTACAGGTTCATGATGCGTGACGCCTCCACGGTGCCGTTCTCCTTGTTTATCTAAAAGACGACCAAAGCCATCAAGACACAGAAGAGCAGCAGCTCTAAAGGGCTTCATTTTAAAGAAAACTTCAAGTTAACCAGGAGATAAGTGGAGATTCTTAATGTTGGGAAACTAACAGAGGAGTGGCGGCCTAGTGGTTGGGGCATTGCACTTGGAATGCAGAGGTTCTGAATTTAATCCCACGGACTGCCAATCTAGATCTCTAAGCAAAGGTTGATGTTACAAGTGCTACAAATTCACTATTGTTGCCAGATTATTGCAATCAGGAGTTTTAATCACTTCCAGGGTCACAGATGCATAAAAATGAAGCACCTAGTCATGCAGACTCTTTTGAAGTGGCTCTCAGGAGCTCAGTGAATTCCAGTGCGGACCTGTGATAGAAAGTCACCCAAGAAATTTCCTAACTCCTAAATATTCCTCAGTCAACTACCAGATAAAAGGAATGAAGACAGACGCTCCATTTCATGTCACCTTGGTGCAGAGGATCCGGACGGCAACCTTCCAGAGGGCCGAGGCGTCCGAGCTGGGCTGAACTTCAAACAGAAGGTGATTCTGCTGCCCAGCAGCTAACTTGGCCGTCCTGAGGGGAGAGAAGAGTCTTAAACAAGCAAACGGATGTGTCTTTGTTTTTACCGCTGCTTTGGCAGGAATTAAACTACAAAGTCTCGGAACAACAAGTTTAGAATCTCAAAGAGTTAAACAAACCAACGGTTGTTTCGCTTTTAGCACTTGATATTGTTCTAAATTAAAAAGTTGAAAAATTAAAAGAAACATCAGGAGTAAAATCTTCATTTCTTTCTTTGGAAATCTAATTTCAAAGGTTTAAACTAGAACAGAAAAAGTGAAGGCGGAGGGAGGAGTCCAAGTATCTCGGGGTCTCATTCAGGAGTGAGGAACAGATGGAGTGTGAGATCTATGGATGGATCGGTCCGGCGTCGGCAGTGATGCGGTCGGTGTATCAGACTGTCGTGGTGAAGAGGGAGCTGAGATGGGGGGCAAAGCTCTCAATTTACCAATCGATCAATGTCCCCCTTCCTCACCTATGGTCATGAGATCTGGGTAATGACCGAAAGGACAAGATCTCATACAAGCGGCCGAAATTTGTTCCCTTCACAGGGTGGCTGGGCTTACCCTTCGAGATTGGATGAGGAACTCAGTTACCCTCGAGGGGCTTGGAGTAGAGTCGTTGCTCCTCCACGTCGAAAGGAGCCAGCTGAGGTGGCTCGGGCATCTGTTCCGGATGCCTCCTGGTCGCCCCCCCCTTGTGTTCCAGACATGTCCTATCAGGAGGAGGCCTGGCGGAAGGCCTAGGACAAGCTGGAGGGACTATGGCTACTTTCAAACTGCAGCCTGAAGTGACCGAAATCCGATTTTCTTTGCCCACATGCGACCTGGATCTGATCTTTTCATGGCTGTCTGAACAACACAGATCTGATCTTTTCATGGCTGTCTGAACAACACAGATCTGATTTTTTTCCAATGCGACCCAGGCCACTTGGCTATGTTGTCCTGAATCCGATACGAATCTCATCTTTTCAAATGCGACTTATGTCTGAACGGCCAGGTCGCATTCATCTGACCTGAACGTCACTAGTAACCGAAGGTCACTAAGAAGCAGCCAGAAACCATAACCATGGCAGATGATGATGCAGAGAGCAGTATTTATGTTTAACCATCCTAAAAAGATTGTGTTTATAGGTTGGGAAAGATCGCTAGATGCTCTCCGGCACTACCATCCATGTTAACTTCCGTAAACACAGAGCATGCTTGCTTGTGACATCAATGCGTCCTCTACTGCACATGTGGGACACTTAGGTTGTATGACTGCAGTTCACACAGGGGATCACATACAAGTCGCATATATTTGTAAATGTGAACGGCAACGCAAAAAAATCAGAATTGAGCATCAAACCCTGCAGTGTGAACGTAGCCTATGTCTCTGAGCTGGCCTGGTGTCACCTTGGGGTCCCCCCAGAGCAGCTGGAGGAAGTGTGTGTGGATGGGGAAGCCTGGGCCTCTCTGCTTAGACTGCTGGCTCCGCGACCCGTCCCCAGATAAAGAGGGAGAAAATTGATGGATGGATGAAAAAGTTATATTTTCGGACTTACACGTCATTAAGTTCTGCCACTCTAGCCAGGAACTCCTCGTAAGATAGGTTACCACTTTCCCGGACCAGTCCAGCATGTTTCACCAGCTGACCTGAGATCTGCTGGCCCATCCTGGAGGCAGCAGCGGCTTACTGTCCAGAAGAGGGCAGCTCTTTGTTCGGTTCTGCAGCTCCTGTTGGGAAAGTGAATGTATTATATTTGGATCTAAAGAAAGTTTTAAAAATGCTAAAATGTGCCTCTTCTAATAGTTCTTAAACCAAAGTTATCGTGCAGAAATAGTCTAATTTCCTCCTGTGTCTGATAAGCATAATGACTCCAGAACTGAACACAGTGTAAGTGAAAAAGTGTTTACCTCTAACCTGATTTCTTTTTTTTTTTTTACATTTGCACTTTAATACATATACATTATATAAATATCTGCATTTATAATTTATTCAACACAAATGATCAAAATGCAGTTTTAAAATCATTTTTATATAATGAAGAGAGCAAAGAAAATCCAAATCTGTGTCAAAAAGTGATGCCTCTGTTGTTGAAACATAATTGCATTTATAACAGCTGAGTTTGTTTTCTCTGTCCGCGCCCAGGAGTGATTACAACCACACCTGTTCTAAAATAAGAAATCACTTGAATAGGAGCTGTGTAGTAAAATGAGGCACTCTAGAAGATTCTCAAATGCAAGATCAAAGAAACTCAGGAACCAATGAGAAAGAAAGACATTGAATCAATCAGCCTGGGAAGGCGTTCACACTGAATTGCAAAGCTATTTCTAAAGCTTTGAGGACTCCAGCAAAGCACAGTGAGAGCCAGGATTTACTATTGGTGGGAACAGTGGGGAACCTTCGCAGAGTGGCTGACAAAAAACGGTCAAAAAAAGGCCTGAACAGTAACTTTTCTCTTGTCTTAAATATATTATTTTATTTTTATTATTGTATTTCAAAATAAAATTAATATTGAATTTTTTCCTGTTTTTTTCACACTTTATTTTTTTCAAATTGCTCTTTTTTTCAGACTGAATTTAAATTCACATATTGAATTTTCTAGATCACGTTTATTTCTAGGGGCGTGCTTTCCGTTAGGAGCAAAGACTCATTTCTATTGGTCTGGATGGACTTTGCTAATGTTAGCAAAGTGTGTGTCAGACTAGATTTTGTAATCAGCTTGAAGTGAGGAGAAGGGTTGACAGATTTTGCCAAAAATTGAAATTGCGATTATTTTTAATCGAAATTACAATTATTTTATTTTCCTTTGCACCAACAAGCTTGGAGTTTCAGTTTTTGAAATTTTACTTGCCAAGAGTCCATTATTGCTGAATTTTAGTCTATTATGTGAAAAAGTTCTTACTTCTACTTGCATGAATGGATCTATGTGCTAGCTGCAACCCCCTATCTCTCTGTTAAACTGCGATTATATTGCAAATATCATTAAATGGCCAGCCCTAGTGAGGAGAATGTGATTATTGAAGCACTCTTTAAATCCCTAAAATTAGATCTGAACAAAAAATTGAAAAAATGAAAAATGAAAAGAGAATATATTTTAAAAATAAATCTGAGAAAACACCTAAATTGATCTCATAACCTTTTTTATATAAACATATTTTTTCAACATTCCAATTCTGGATGCCCCTTTTTTTTTTTTTTTTTATTCCAATGTATAAAATGTGTTATACGCTGGTGAAGATTCTCAGTCATCCAGGCTTTGGTGGACTAAAGCTTCGAACTCAACGCTATTTCTGACTTTTTAATTGAAAAAGCTTCATGGATGGGAAGCGAATTTTTTAAAACTTGAAGACAAAGTCAAGTGGAATGCTTTTAAAAATCTTTGGAATACAAAATGTATCCTTTGCTTGCAACAATAATACAATAAAATTCCCTCCATACATACACAAGTGGGCCAAAGTTCCTTCACAGCGCTGCAAGTTATTCCAAAACACTTAACTAACACATTGAAGCTGCTAAGAGTCGCCCAACCACTTATTAAAGAGAACAACATGGGTTTGATTTTTTCCTTTACTAAATAACAAAAACCTTCATTTAAAACTGTTTTTTGTTTGAACTTATTTTGCCTTTGGCTAAAATTTAAATCAGTTTTATGTCCTGAAGTAGTTAAATGTCACAACCATGCAAAAAGAAAAACAGAAAAAGGGGAAACACATTTTTACACCACTGAAAGCTCAAACACGATTATGGATGTGTGTGACTGCTGTGATGTCATCACGTGATACTGTGGTTTGCTGCAATAGCATCTTGACTGTGGTGAAATAAAATCATTCAAGACATGAAAACACCCATACCTCCGTGTCTAGTAAACCAGGGTTGCACAATAACCTTAGAATATATCATCATCCTATTATCAGTGTGTGTATTTAATTTCTCAGAGGAACCAGATACAGACTGTCCCACATTCAGACTTTCACGGTTATAGTTTGCAATGACAGGACAGAAAGACATGGCTAAATGTATGGAAGGGGAATGAAGTTTAAAGATATATGCAAAAAATAAATATTTGACTAGGGCTTTTTAGTAATTTATTATTATATTGATTATTTTTTTGCCATTAATTAAATTATCGAAAACAAGATCATCACCAATTATTAACATTTCAAATAAACAATCATTTGAAATATATATAGAAACAAAACCTTTGCACAATTTAAATGAATTAAAAATGGCAAAAACAAGCAAAAAAATACACATTTAATAACATATATATATATATATATATATATATATGCATTTATAAAGAATAGATTTTATGTTTATAGTTTTGTCGTGATAACTCCTGTAGGTAGGTCTATGAACCTTTACTCTCTGAATAATACCATTTGTTTACCAGGTTAGTTTGCAATAATTGATGAATTATGGGTAATCTGAGTCATCGTTTCAGTCCTGAACGTTTTTTTATAGATGCTGTTGGATGAGTGATATTTTTTATTCACTATTAAGATAAACATCGTGGATCGGCAGACCTCCAGTTATTAAGCAAGTAGGGTTAGGTTATTCTTTCAAACAACCAAGTTTTCAATTCTCAGTTTTTCTCTCAGGGATTCTTTTTTTTTTATATAATTTTACTGAATTCTCTTTCATCGTTTACATTTCTAGTTCCTTCTCGATCAGACAAATTATTGGAAAATCTGAATTCCCCACCCCCCCACCAATCCACTCCATGGGCTCCCATAGCTCAGAGTGGTTCTTAACTGATAAACTATGTCATTGTAATATACATTTATATGTATATTACAATGACATATATGTATTTATATGTATTTATGTGTTATATTTTCATTGCTTGTTTTAAAATGTGATTGTTTAACATGCACATTTCACACCGCACATCTCCTTTTCCTTTAACTTAAGATCACCTGGCAGAAGAGATTATTTAAATAAAAATAGTTTGTAAAAGTAATGTCTGTCATCTGTATTTTTTCTGTCATAAAAATAAGGAGATAATAAACATATTTTAGTTTAGACTACTTTATTTGCCAACCAATGGTTAACAACAGCAGTATTATCTTATCTGGTCGTCAGGATCAAGTTAAACTAACTAAATATAACTTGATACACGTTCTAATGAGTTGTCCTAGATACTCCCCCTGTGTTTTTTTTCCTCTTCTTTTTCTGATGGGTCCTGTTCGATATTAATACGGTAGCTAAAACGGTGCTGAGGTTCTTGCATGCAACTGGCCAGTGAGAATTCAAATAAAACATAGACCATATGATCAGTGGGGGGCAGCAGCAGAAGGCGAATATTGGCCTAAAAAAATCCTCCCATAACAATTATCAGCATAAACTGGGAATCAGTCTGACTGATATCAAAATAGTGGGTATTGACAATGGCCTTAAAAAAGATTACCTGTGTTGTTTTTACCTTGTTAGGATTATTTTGATTGGTTATGCACAAGTCTTTTAAATCCTAATAATACCTGCCTGTCAAGTGTCTAAACTAACGTTTTTCCAAGCAGTTTATCCAATTAGGGCAGTTCTTTGGTCAGGATATTCTGTTATCATGTTCATTATGTAGAGAACAGAGATTTGGAAATAAAATGAGAGCATACAGACGGAGTGGATGATTCTAATGGAGAATTTGGAATGTCCTTGATCTAAGAACAGGGTCTTATTTTGATATGGCTGGAGCCAGAGGTGTCCCCACATTTATAAACATGTATGATGTAATGATGTGATGATGTGGCATACTGGGGTTGTATTAAATGCTTCTTGAACTTTGATTGAGGCAGACTTCAGGAGGAAGCGAGAAAGCAGTTTCTCTGGTCTGAATAAGATTACAACTTATGTAAAATCTGCTGTCATGACTCATGGTTATCTAATACATGTAATAGGGATGAAATTAATCGGATTAATTGTTTATTGAAATCGATTATTGAAATCAACAACTAATTTAGCAATCAATTAATCGTTAAATGGAGTAAAGAGACTTCAAACATGGCTTTAGCTGACAGAACAACCCGTATAGAACAGTAATTATACCAAACTTGCAAAATAATATATAAGCACTTTGCATTTAAAATAAAAAAAGAAATATTTTCATGTGGAAAAGTTTCACCTGGTTTGATTTCGCAAAGAATCTTTGGCGATCTAATTATTAATCTAAAAAAGAATCAACAGATTAATAGATTTGCAAAATAATCGTTAGTTGCAGCCCTAACCATTATGAAGCGTTATTTAAACAGTTTCTACCGAGTGATCTCTTCTCAGGAAAGAATGGGGAAGAAAAAGCTTAGGTTTAAACACATCTAAGGTTTAATAATATCCTTTAATTTTTACTGTTTGCTAAGATTAAAGTTATCATATTTTTTATCAAATATAAACTATTTTCTGGAATGAATCAATATTATGACGGACCGATCGGATGTAACTGTATCTAACTGACGTTTTGTGTTTCAGTTCAAATTCAAAGTTTTCTTGATAAGCTATCAGCTAGCTAGAAGCAGCAGTAGCTCTGATATGTAAGGAACCGGCCGGAACCGAGATGTCTGCATGATAGAAATATAAAAGCTGCATCTTCATTAGGAGGAAAGTTACCAAAGGGAAAATAAAGTCTGTTAAACTCACCACCTTTTAAACTCCAAAAGTGCAATCCTCCGTTGTTGCTTGGCTGAAAGAATCTGCTCTGACAAACCAAACCATAACAACACTCCGCGGCGCAGCTCAATGCCGTCATGACCTCGTTAGACGTCATCCAGATGCGTCTTGCTAGAGATTGGGGGGATTCCTGTTTAGATTCCTACATTAGAAACATGGATTAAATAAAAAATTGAATTTTTTGGATTTATTTCTAGAGAGATGGCGACTTTTGGAATAATATTAAAAAACAAAACAATAGAACTCTGATATAACCTAATTCTGTCTTTAGCAAAATTATTCATAAACAAAGAGTGTTGAAATAATAATTTAAGGTAGTGTTTATATGAATTCAAGTTTTATTTGAAATCTCTTAAATGTATCGAATCATATGAATACCTGACTGAAATACTGATGGGTTTACCTAACATGAAGCCCCCTGTTGTTAATAATTATTTTATTATTATCAGCAATTCCTTTTATTTTTTGTTCCTTATCAATAATTCCTTTTACTTCCATTTTGAAATCTGCCTCTACTATGCCTTCTACAGATTTGTACTGTTGCTATTGCCTTACTTATTTGTACTCTGTGTAAATAAAGATCATAAAAAAAAAAAAAGCATTCTTGAAAAAAGCTTTCAGAAATATAAGCACCATATATGACATGGGCCCCAGTATGTCTACAGGACGGCGTGTTAGGACTATTCAAAGATGATAAAAAAAAAGAAATTTTTAGATTAAAGTTACATTTTTACAAACATAAAAACCCAAATTAAAACATACAAATATAAGAAGAAAAGTAACAAATTAATGAGGAAAGAAACACACCAATTTAGGAGAAAATGGTAGCCAATTTGCAAGGTTTAAACATGTACATTTACGGAACAATGCAAGATTGTAATTAGGGCTGCAACCAAAGATTAATTTAGAAATCGATCAATCGATTTTTTTTTTTTCCGACTAATCGATTAATGATCGAATAGCAAAAGATTACTTAAATACTTTGTCTTACTAAATTAAACCAGGTGAAAAACAAAAACTTGTCTACTTTCTGTACAGCATATTGACAGAAGGAAAATATTTTCATCCTAAATCCAAAATGTTTATATATTTTGTGTTACAATAATTGCTGCTCTAAGTGGGTCGCTCTGTCAGCTAATGGCATGTTTTAGAGTCTCTATACTCCAGTAAGCGATCAATTGATAAGTAATTTATTGGAGGATTATTTCAATAATCGATTAATCAGGATTAATCCGATTAATTGTTTTAGCCCTAAAGATAATACACTTATGCTACATAAAGCTCATGCAAATACATTATTAACAAGGAAGTTTTAGCGATAAAATGAGACGGTACAATGGCATCCTCATGTAAGTTTAAAGTAAAAATAATGATACAATAAATTTGCATGTTTATAATCTTGTAAGTATTTATGCTTTTTCCCCTAAATTTCGGCATTTACTCTCATAAATTCTCTACATTTTTCTTCTAAATGTGCATTCTTATAATCGTAAATTTGTATGCTTAGAATCTGATAAATGTGCAAATTTTAGTTTTATTCTAGTACATTTTTAAATTTATCCCTCTAAATTGGCATCTTTATAATCTCCAACATGTAAATGTTTTGTTCTTTTAAATATGCCTATTTATTGTTGTACATTTGCAACTTGTTTCCTCATAAATGCGCATGTTTATAATCTCGTTAATTCGGGTGTTTTTAAATTTGCGTGTTCATTCTCGTAATTATGCTTGAACTCAAAAATTTTACTTCTAATTTTGTTTGAATGGCCCTAATATGCTGTGGTACCTGTACAGTATGACTTCTGTATTTTTTTCCCAATAAATTCGGTTATCATCATCAACATTACAGCTTTTGTTAATTATTATTATAGTCTTCCTCGATACCCAAACTTTGTTTATGTTTTGTGCTTTTCATGCCTTTTTTTTCTTCTTGTATTTGCCTATTAGCTTCTTAGATTGACATTTTATGTTTACATATACCTATTTTGTAATTTTGAAATTGTTTAGTAAAAATTAAAAATATATTTTCAGAAGTTGCCTCTAAATAAACCCTGTTGTACATGTTTTAGTAGTATAGTCATACCCATTGATTATCTTTTCTTCAAGTTTTGTGACATTGAAACCATGTCCACTTATAGCAGGTCATAAGAGCTTTCAGTTTTCCATTTTGGCTCCTCCCAGTGGACAAAAAGGGGAAGTGCACATTTGTTTGTGGCAGGGTTACTGCCACCCTCCTCAAGGTTTCTGCTGTCTTCATGTCATCTGATAAATATCCTTTCCACTTGTAAAGTGGAAATGAATAGCGCGTTGTGTTCAAGTGCTTTTGTTGTGATAGAGAAGAGAAACATGTTGGATCCAAAGATTATACTGACCTGCTACTTGGGCAAGACAGACTTCCTAATTCAACTGCTACAGGAAGAAGAGGATTCATCAAATGCATGAACTGACTTCTAGTGAGCATCTGTTAAATTAAACAAAAAAAGTCATTTCAAAAGGGACATGAGTTTAAATGGTGATATATTTAAAATATATATATATATATATGTGTGTGTGTGTGTGTGTTTGTGTGTGTGTGTGTGTGTGTGTGTGTGTGTGTCAATAGGATTGTGTAAGCTGCAAACACAACAGGGGGAAACACTTAACAATGCAGTAATTATCATGCACAATTGTTTTAATGCACTCCGCAATCTTGAAAGGTCAAAGATTCCCTCATCATAGCATCATAGAATTTTCTAAGCTTTCCAAGTGGAATAACGACATAAGTGGGTGTTCAATGGCCTACTTTCATGTCGGCTTTTGGTATTTGCCATAAATACCACATGAAGGCAAATTAGTGCTGGTAAAAGCGATACAGACCCCCTCGGGCCTAGACAGGTGTTATTCAACCAGTTGTAAGTTGACACATAATCACAAAAGTTATGAAAATATTCTATGAAGCCTGAAGAGTTACTTCGTAGGAAACAGGGGAGTTCAAAATGACAGCTGATTGCAAAAATTACAGAAATATTCTGTCCAGGGGTGATGCGGAGAAACTAGTCCATGCATTTGTTACTTCAAGGCTGGACTATTGTAATTCTTTATCATCAGGAAGTCCACAAAGTGCAGTTAAAAGCATTTAGATCCAAAAGGCTGCAGCCAGAGTTCTGATGAAAATGAAAAAGAGAGATCATATCTCTCCTATCCTAGCTTCTCTTCATTGGCTTCCTGTAAAATCCAGAATGGAATTTAAAATCCTCCTTCTCACAGATAAAGCCTTAAATGGCCAAGCTCCATCTTATATCAGAGATATGAACGTTCCTTATGTTGCTCACATAAGGACCCTGTCTACTTTTAAGGGAAGGCTTAAAACTTTTCTTTTTGATAAAGCTTATAGTTAGTGTGGCTGAGGTTATCCTGAGCTATCTCTATAGTTATGCTGCTATAGGCTTAGACTGCTGAAGGACATAGGGACCCCTATTTCAACATTCTTCTTCATTCTATCTCTATTCCCCCACTCTGCAGAATCTGTTGGTTCAATCTCTGATGTTATGCTCTCTCTGCTCTCCATCCTGGAGAGAAATATCAGCTGTGCTGCTGCCATCAATACCTTTGATTATAGATGTTGGAGATCTGCCTGTTTTTCAGTGTAGTCCTGTTTCTCTGACTGTGACTAACTGGATGTGCTCTCTTCATCCTCTAACATGGGAGCAGTCTTTGAGCTCATCTGCCCAGCTGTGTGTTTACTGGACAGGGAGTGGCCACCTGTGGAGCTGGTTGACAGTTGCCTTTTGTATCCCTGCTTCTTTCTGTATGTCTTCTTCTGTCTCCTTGAACCGTAGTCAGCCTCAGCAGATGGCGGCTCATACCGAGACTGGTTCTGCTGGAGGTTTTCTCCTGTTAAAAGGGAATTTTCCTCTCCACTGTCGCTACAAACATGCTTAGTGTGAGGGATTGGTTTCAAGGCACAGAGTTAATGCAATCAGCTGGTTTTCCTTAGAAAGAAAACCTTGAACCAATCTGAGTGTATGATCTGGGTGAATTGTCTCTGTAAAATGTATAATATATAAATAAACTGAATGGAATTGAAAATTAAATGTTTTTACCTCAATAGTTCATTCTTTTATACAATTATTTGAAAATGTGATGTGCTTGACATGTAGCTTCAGCCATATTAAGATAGGATCACAGTTTTCCTCTATTACATCATTGGGCTGCGACTTGCAGCTCTAGAGCTGAAAGCAGCTCTTTATCTTCATAGCTCACGTAATACATCTAACAAGGAAATATAGTCTTATGTTATGTTATTTTATTTTATGATTATTGGTTTTGTTTTATACTTTTTTTTCAGTAACAAAATGGCCCTAAACCTAGTCTCTGGTAAATGTATTTTTTCCGAACTATCAGCATCTCACAAAAGAAGGGAGAATGTCGATATTTTCATCAATTCCATACTTACAGAGAGGATAAAAATTTTAGACTCAGTTTACCATGCCTCCCTACGATTAATCACAAACTGTAAGCCTCGCACACACCACTGTGAACTTTACATACGTGTGGGCTGGCCAGCATTAGAGACTCGTAGACTCACTCACTGGTACAGTATATGATGATTTATAAGGGTATTCTCCGTCTGCTCCCCTCATACCTCTGTGAGTACATTCAACCAAGAGCAGCTGGACTGTATTGTCTACGTTCTCAAGAGTCTTTGCTTCTGTCTGTACCTAGTGTCCGCACTGAAGCTGGAAAGACAGCTTTTCAGCACACCTGCCCCCACAGCATGAAACAATCTTCAGAAAGACTGGAAGTTGAAGGATTTGATTCCAATCAGACATTTTAAACGATTGCTCAAAGGTTTGGAATTGAGATCTATGGTTTGTAACTGTTTTATGAATTTCTGATTATAGATAGATTTAATTGTAAACTGTAATGTAATTTGTAATGTATTCTTTTGCCGCTGTCTTGGTTAGGACTCCCTTGAAAAAGAGATTCTTAATCTCAATGGGACTTTTCCTGGTTAAATAAAGGAATAAATAAATAAATAAAAAGTCTACCTTACAGTATACATATCTGGGGAAACCTCTGACTAAAGACACTATATATTCATTTATCAGGTAGTCTTTGATCCAGCTGATTGTTAAGGCCTCATACTGTATGTGAGCTTTCTGGAATTTCTGTTAAAGCAAATCATGCAGGACCTATACAGCATGACAGACTGGTTAATGGGGGCTTGATTTAAAGGCAATCAGAAGGTGAAATGCTAAATGGCCTGTACTTCTATAGTGCTTTTTCAAGTTTGCACATTGTTGGTGGTGAGCTGCATTGTAGCCGCAGCTGCCCTGAGGTTCCCTAAGAGAAGCGAGGCTGCCGTACACTGGTGCCACCGGGCCCTCTGACCACCATCAGTAGGTAATGCAGGTGAAATTTCTTGCCTAAGGACACAACAGCAACAGCCGGAGTAGGGAAAACCCCTGCATCCAATGCCACTGTTGCCCTAAAATAATCAATGTTATTCAGATTTTTATTTTGAAAGGCCAAAAAGAAACTGTGGTATATAACCTGAAACCAAGCAGTACTTTGTTTGCTTCCTTTATATAAAATAAATGAAAGCAATATGACAAAATGCTACAATCATTAAGGTATTTTGTTTTTGCATTGACAGTTAATTTAGAGAAGGAGCCCTTTTTCTTTCCCTGGACTGAGGTGCACGACCCTAATTTTCATTCCTATGAGGTTTGTTAAAGACTTTCTTTCTCATTTTCAATAATATATAAGTGTTTCTAAATTAATCCAGCAACGGATTAACTGTGATTAATTGATCAACATTAAACAAACCATGTTTTATGTGCTACATATTCTGTTTTGCATAAGATTATCGAATAAATTATATAATTTATCAATTAAATTGATTTCAAATATTTCGTTGTAAGTTTCCTAATGAACCAGCAGATGGTAGCAAAGCACAAAAAATATCAAAACAATTTCTGAAAAACATTACCTTTCCTTCAAACCAAGTTGTAAACTTCAAGAGGCCAAGATTATCTAATCTAAATTGATAAAATGACTTGAAAAATTGCAGACAGTATTGGCAATGTGCATGTTTTTTTTATAAACAGATCCTCAAAAAATTGGACATTGTAGTAGAAATCTTTTATGTACACAGTAATTTTGTTTCTGATACATCACCATTGTTATACAGATCTTTGAGCAATCCAAAAAAATATGGATCGATTCAAATGTACTCCAATAGTCCGAAAATAAAGTCACACTGTCAAAACATACAGACAAAAAAATAACAAACAAACAAACAAAAAAAAACTGAAGAATTTAGCGTTCCTACTTTAACTGACCAACAGGCTGTGAGGTCCAGAGGCTGATAGTTCTTATGATGAGCCATTCTTTCTGACTAGCTGTGACAACTATTCTGACACACTCAATGTCAAAGCCAATCTTATGGTCCACGCCGTTGACCTCAATGTTGCCAACTTTAAACTCCCCCAGTGTGATATATGATGTACATTGTCTTCCCTGTTTGGTCTCTACAGACTTCTGGCCTACTTCCAGAGCTCCGTGGTGAAGTATGTCGTTTTGACGATCCTCCGTGCCCGTCACAATTTTAATTCTGCTAATTTTTGTCGATTTGTTGAAGATTACAATGAAGAAGTCTCCAGTGCACGGAGGTTTCCCCCAGAAATACTCGTCAGCTATACTGCTGTAGGCTTTGGTTGCGTCATAGTTCTCAAAGACGTTTATGTTTGTGTAAATACTAGCAGGGGGGTTGTCAGGAATGTCAATGGAGTCTTCCTCAAAGTCATCGTCCTTCAGTTTGTTCTCCACTCCTTTATAGGAGGAGTAATAACCCATGTGCTGGAAGAGCGAGGGTTTGAAGCGAATCACATCCTTTTGAGCCAGCAGTCCCCTGAAGTGGATGAGAAGCCAATCACAAGGCATTTCCTGGTAGAACATGAGGAGAAAATGAGCCAGGCGAGGCAGGTCTCTGGAGTGGTAGAGCTTACCGATGTAGCCCAGCTTAGAGAACTCCATCATCACCCAGTAGGAGCCTTCTCTGGAGGTGATCACCTTCTTCAGCGCTGTCAGAAAGTTCCTGGAGCAGCGCACGTCGTCCTCCAACATCATGTAGAAGTGCGACAGGTTTGTGCAGAAGTTCAGGAGGAAAGCATAGTCCACGTTCTGCTTGGAACGGAAACGGACTCTGTCGTCCGGGTCATTGTAGTTCCTCTTTAAGCCGTCCAGAGAGGGGTAGAACTCCTCTGGGGCCTGGATGACCAACAGCCGTCCCGCTATAATGTGGTGAGCAAACTTCCTGGTGATTTCCTGAACCACATTCTCACACCAGACCAGATCAAAGTCTGCAAGATGGACCACAACCACAATCTCCTTCAGCTCCTCATAGCTTGATTGGTCAAAGATGGATTTGATGGTTTCCAGAAGGTAGCTTCCCTTCTTCCTTTTGACGGATGCCAAGCCAATCGTGAGATACTCTGAAATAAAAACACTCTTATCATTTCCAACATAAAGTTTTCAAATTCAAGGTAAAAACCAATACGTAATGCAGGCAAAACCAGATATTCAAATAACTTATTAAATGGCTTTTTTTTTCTCACTAATGAGCATGCAATCAGGCTAAAGCTTTCTTCATGTCAGTTAGATTGACCAACATTATTTCAATTCATTAGATTCCAAGCAATGTCATAATTTTTACACTTAAATAAGTATTATTCTTATTACACAGCAAAAAATTATATATAGGTCACTACAATTTTTTCCATTGATTTCAACAGTGAAGTAAAACAATTTGCCAATATGATAAGATGGTTTATCTTTAAGAAATAAAAAAGTACTCAATTTATTTAAGTAAAAAAAAAAATACTCAATTCCATTGACAGACCATCTTATTTACCTGATCATATTAAGAGGAAATATATTTATTTTCAGGAGAGTTGTGGAAATGATGTCATGGATTTGTATTTTTGTCAATATTTGTTGTATAACAGACTCCATTACTAACAAGGCCTGAAAGGCCACTTTACCAGGTCTAAGCCATTACTTCAAAAGCCACATGTAAAATAGATTAAAGTCTGCAAATATACCAATGATACAAACAGCAATTATTGGACACATGACCTTAAATCTCATGAAACAAAATGTATAGCGTTTGGCTTTAATCATCTCAGTTACATTAGGAGGAAAAATCTGATTGGGTTACACCAATTATGTCAGGAGTAATGGGCCAAAATTACAGCAAACTACTTTAGAGAGGTTGTGGACTGAGACCTAAAGGGGCCTAGATACATACTCTGAATTTCTGCAACAGTAGCTCACCCCGGTTGCAAACTAACTCTATTATGGCATCATGTTGGCTGATTATATTTTAAATCTATGTTTAACAGTGCATAGCAACACCACATGGCAGGATGTGGCATATTGTGTGTGCTTGGACACAACATGTAAACAAGGACATAATGGAGCAAAGCATGTTAGAATTTCCTCCATTTAGGGTCTGAAAAGAAAGAGGAACAATTCAAGATTAACGTAAAAAAAATCACAAAAAACCAAATAGATTCCTAGAGAGCTATATAAACAACAAAAAAAGCTGTGCTCCGAAAATAATATTAATGTTGGAGTTAATAGCAGAGGGATCGGCTGCCAAGTTGATTGGTGTGTGAGTGAGTACTGCCAGCAGATGGCGACGGTGTGCATTAAGTTTATGTCAGTTGATTGCATTCAATAAAGAAGTTCTGCTGAGACTAAAAAAATACTACTATACTAATATTAAACACTCTCATTATAAATGCTTGGTGTGTACTGCTTTAGTTTGACATGAACATATGGATTTTTTCTTTTTTTTTTCTAGGCATAGTATGTGACTGGCATTGATGAAATTTTGATTTCAGAATTGGGAGTATTTTTTAATATGTTTAACTTCAGCGTGTTTGACCATCCAATCACAGACCCGATTCAATGGTGCATTAGATGTCTGTAAAGTGAGGTTCTCAGGAGTGACAGCGGTTACAGCCAATCACACAACAAAAGACGGTGGGCCACTCAGGAGATTGTGGGCGGTATAAAGTCAGGGAAGCAGTCTTCAGTTTGACTTTCGATTGTCTGCATGGTCCAAGTGCCCGACGAATTTCTGTGTGCTTTAGCGTAACGTTGTATTTTGACAGTAAAAACTGCAGGGGACCAAAATGGATGTTTGAAAAAGTGCAGGGGACATGTCCCCCCAGTCCCCACCAAAAATTACGTCCATGGTGACCTGGGCCCCTTTAAAGCTTTTTAACCTAGTCGTAGAGTTTAAATGAAATAAACCTCTGGCATTAAACAAAGTAAAAACATTTTTCTCCCTCTTTCATTATTCTGGTATTAGGAAAGTATTTTGAAAAACTGTTTGTTGTTAAAAAAAAAAAAAAAAGATGTTTACGCTTCTTTTTTTAAATCAATGTAAATATCTGCTTTCAACTGTACTTCACGTGAAAACTCACTTTTTCTTGACAAAGGAATTCCAGCAAGATAGCGATACGTCACATTGATACTCCCAGAGAAATTGGACAAATCTTTAAACGTGTGCATATATCTGTCAGAGCTTGAAGGATGAATCGTCTCTCCCAGCTGTCTTTTTTCACCTTCCTAGAGCCCAAAAAAAAACAGGTCAACATAGGAACGTCACTGAGACAGGTTTCAGAGCCTTCTTTTTGAAGAGGAGAAACTCACCAACACGTAACCATCATCCAGGTAAAGGTTGAAAAAGAGCAGGGAGGTGAGTAGGAAGGTGAGGACGGGGAGCATGGCTCGCTTCCTTAAACACCTCATTTTGTCGAAGGACTTCCACAGGAGCCTCATGATCAGCTCTCACTGCTGGGAAGCAAAAAGAAGCAGAGGGTTCAGCTAATAATAAAGAAAAGAAAACAGTTAGCTTCCATAAACTGCAAACTATATACTTTTTTTCATAAGTCAGAAGTTATACCTTCACCACAAAGACTTAGAGAGATTCTTATGTGAAATGAGACATGAGTCACTTTTATAAGAAGGTCACATAAATCACAACCTTAAATCAGGGACTCCTGTAATAACTAGATGCAGAGCTGAAATAATAAATCTTCATAAAACTGCAGAATCACATTATCTGCTGGTATCAAACTATTTGTAATAGAAGTCTTAGCTAGTTGTTAACTTTAGCCCCGTGCTTGAAACCTATGGAGCAGAATTAGCAAACCAGATGAGTGCAAAATAACTTTGGTATACTGTACTACTGGTAGAGGAGCTTTTATTTATAGCTTGAAAGAAACAAATTTCAAAACATCCTACTACTGTAGACTCCTTTTGGGAAACAGCAAAAATGGCATCTTTGTATGGAGTGAATTTTGTTCCATTATTGTTGTTAGCAAAGAACTCATTTTATAAATGGAAATTTTAAAAAAGCAATGTAAAAAGGAAACTGATTTTTTTCCATTTCTTTTTCCAGTTTTTGCTATATATTACTTTTTTCAAAAGCTTTTTTCCTTTTTTTTTTCTAAATATCTTCATATTTAATTTTTAACATTTTCAGATTGAGTTGTAGAGATGGTATTCTTTTCACTTTAAGGGTGAACTTTCCTAAGTGAAAGTTCCTGAGTGAAGAGCAAAGACACATTTCTATGAGCATGCTGTCAGTTAGCAACAACATTTACCGGTATTTGTCAATGTGCATGTGCAAGAGCGAGCGTTTGGACTGGGCTTGAAGTGAAGAGAATGTGATCTGTGAGAAGCAATTTAAAAAATAATGCTATTCATGAAAAACTGACTTATCTAAAAATAAAATTTAAAGTATAAAACCTGTACAAAAAGAAAGAAGTGAGAAATATATTTATTTATAAAATCTGAGAAAACACTAAAGTTACTCAAAAAAATTGTTGTTTATATTTATATGTTATTATGTTATTTTCATGTGGCAATAATTAAACAAAATTTACTCCATATATTATTTTTACATCTTTTAGGCAACAGAGAAGCAGTGCAGAACATCAAAGCTTCATTTTAATTTGTTGCAGCATGGATATGAACCACATCAGTTCAAGGATATTTAATCTTTGATTTCTGTGAATGTTTTGATATGGAAAAAAAACTAAATCTGAACAAGTTATTGTGATAGTATTATTAATTGATTTAAAATTATTTTTTCCTGATTTACATGCTCAATATAACAAAGGAGTCTTTCCCTTATTCCTCCTCTTTATTCAAGGCAACTCCCCCGTCTTTCCACTTCGATGCAAGTTATTCCTATCTATCAGTATAGATTATTAACTTTAATCAGTATAATAATAATCAGATGCAACCAGGGGCCATCAATCAGAACCTGGGCAGATCGTCATCTATAATTACGTTTTGATGGGCTACTCAACATGACAGATGTGACCGGCGCAGGGCTGAGACAGATGCAGAAAGCTGATTTTCAGGTTTTTTATTGGGTGAAGCCAAACTGCTGCCGGGCATGGATAATTTTGGTTGTTAATCTGCTCACTTGCTGAGACGTCAGTCATCTGCTCTGTTTGTGAATCATCATGTTCGAGTCCAGATGAAGCTATTAGATACATGTGACATCTTCTGATAGGAAATTGATGCTCCTCGGCATGAATGTGGTAATTTAATGGGATAGATGAGACCTTGCAGGCGAGCTTCAATGACAATGTCATCATACAGGTTTTCTTACTTGTTATAGATAAGGCACCAGTTTTCTCATTGTAAAGAATGAGTAGAAAACTGAAAACATCCTGAAGGCTTACAGTTAATCTGAAAGAGCTCCAATCTCAGCAGGTTTTAGCAAATTGACCATCTCAAACTGAATGTCTGCATATAATAGGTACACAGCAATACTTTATCATTTACTAAACTGCAACTTTCACAACTAAGTGAGTAAATTTGAACTAAAACCACAAGTAAACTGTTACTAATTGTCTTTTACATTTATCAGAAGTCTAAATATGGACCTGTCTTTGCAAAGAGTAATGGGAATAAAATAATCAAAGATCTAAAATCAAAATCAGATCATTTTCAAGCTGCCCAGCAGTTTAAAATTTCATAATAAAAACATCCAGATGTTTCCATGTGTCAAAGTAATAGGATTGTAAATTAACTACAGAATGAATTGTTTCTTTAACAAATATAAATTAGGTCATCTGATAATGAGGGATCTTGCCAGCAGTAGTGTCTTTGTGTGGTAAACAATTGGGCACGTTTCTCACCAGCATTGCATATGTGCAAAGGGAAGGGTTAAATGTCTTTAAAACAGTTTCCATGGCCGTTAAGCTCATTAAAAGCCAGAGTATCGAAATACTTCCATTGCAATTCTATAAACTTCTGTGTAACCACCGTCTGTGCTGAAATGTGCTGAGGAGGAAGCTCAGATGTCGGTCAAAGGGCTGTACAAATTTATTTTTTTTTTATAATTATATGAAATTAAGAAAGAGTGAGAAATGAAAATAAATAATAAATTTAATTCTAAAACAAAGATACAAATGAGAGCGAAATATGAAAAAGAAATTATAAAATTATAGATCATGTACCCTATTGAGGGATGCTTAACTTGTGTACAGGGTCTTTTTGGGTTGAAGAAGATTTATAAGCCTTTAATCCTGGAACACCCAAACAAGGTTTACAAAAAATATTCCCTTTGATCCCTCAGGTCATTTTTGTGGCCCATTTGTTGAATTTGGAATTATGGAATATTTCATAAACCGCTAAGTAACAGAGTAAAACAGGAAATAAAATACTGACATGTGAAAAGGCATTTAGCTTGAAGTACACCATTCCATACATGCACTGTGAAGATTTATAATATACTAGAAAAACTTCTAAAACTATATCTACCAAATTAAATATACAGCAGCATCTACACTGTGAAACATACAGTCTGCGGGTAAAGAGGTAAAGTTAGGATTTTAATTAAGCAATATAAAATGTTCATGTTTTAATTGTTAGAGAAGTTAAAATTTTTATAAAGATAGATAACTACTTGTTATAGGACCTTAACAGTTCCCATGATAATTGGTTTGTATTCATTATCAGTCATTCTATTGCATGAATAATAAAGTCTTACTTCACACTGTTCCTTTAAAGATTTATTAAACATTAAAGTTTTTGTCAGATTTAAATGTTTTAATTCATGAAACTAATTCTACTAGCATACGAAGACAACATGAGATTTTTAAAATTATGTTTTGTTTGACTTTTGGCCCAGTTTACATGAAATGCACTGGCATTTTTAAGCTTTAACAGAATTTATTTGTATAAAATAATATTATTTAATGAGCAAACCATATCGTTACCTCAAACTCAGTCACCCAAATAAGCAGATGAGAAAAACTAGTAAAACTATTAACTTTAGTTTTTACTCCTATCAACCACACCCTGTTAGAGTCTGTCTGACTCCCTCAAAGTCTAGAGTTGCAGTTTCCTAAATCCACTCCCCCAGACCACAGGCTTTCCATATAAGGTAACAGAAATACAAAGAGCATCTCACATCTAACAGAGTACACAGATAATATTTTCTTCATCTATCTCTAACTAGTTAATAAAACTTGTCTTGCACTCCAACATGTCGATGTGCCCCTGAGCAAGGCACCTAACCCCAAGCTGTTACCAGTCTGTTATTGGATGAAGGTGAGCATTTCTGAATGGAGAAGGATGAATGTGGGTGTAGTGTAAAGTGCTTGAAGTAATCAATATGACAACAGTCAGTTAACATTCGAAAAACAGCTGTGCAAAGCTATTTAGTCCTGTGAAAAAACAATACATTTAAAAATAAAAAAAAACCCATCATAGTAAATTTCTCCACTGTGAGATCAATAAAGTCAATCAATCAGTCCTATGGGAATGGCTGCCAAATGGATGAAATTTTAATTTCAGAAGTGGTGGGGATGCAAGTATTCTAATCTAACTAACTTCAGCGTGTTTGACCATCCAATCACAGACCCGTTTCAGTGGCGTGTCAGATGTTTATAAAGTGAGCTTTTCAGGAGTGACAGCGGTGAGAGCCAATCTCAGATGAAAAGATGGTTGGCCAATCACTAGCTTGTCTGCGGTCTAAACTCAGGGATGCAGGCTTCAGTTTGAGCTGCGGTATTCCGCTTGGTCCTAGTGCTCGATGGATGTCTGTGTACTGTATACTTTTGCGCCGATGCCATTTTGGCCACGATACTGATACCCGATACCTGACTGTGCAGTATCGGCCGATACCGATACCATACGGATACCATCTGTTCAAAATTGATGTATGCGTGTATATATGAAGAACTGCATACTACTTGGATGTAAAATAATTGCCATCATGGCTTTGTCAAGCTGCTTCCTACCTTTGTGAAGCAGGAAAAGACTAATACAAAGTGAATCCAGTAGAACTTTTAATGGCCTACCTGAAATGGGTGACAATAGTTGCTCTCAAAATGGTATCGGTGCCTTATTTGTTGGTACTCGCCGATATCTATACCAGCATTTTAGTGCTGGATCGGGGCCCCAACCGATACTGGTATCGGTGCAACACTAGTGCTGTAGCGTAACATTGTTTTTAGACAGTGAAACGTGCATTTTCAAAAGAGTCGGGATCGTTCTACATAAGATGTAACTCACATCATCAGAAGTAGTTTTGGACTTGGAAATTTACCATGGATGCAGTTTTCCTGAGTTTTCCAGGGACCGACAATAACTGAACCCTGTGAGATCTGACAGTCGTAACATTAATCTTTTATTTTGTGAGAACCTGGATGAGTCGTAGATTTGAAGTTTGGGGTTTTTTGTTTATTAGGCCTCCTCACTACTTCCATATTTCTTCTATGTTTTGAGACCTCCTCACCAAAGTTCACTGGATTCCCAAAAACTATGTT